GTTTTCACCGAAAAAAGGCCTTAATACACTTGTATGCCGATTCCATGAGAGCCTGATCCAATCAGGGTTCGGTCATTGTTTGGTGTCTATTCTGAACCAATAACATCTATCTTTCTATCTATCTCATTATCCAATTAGAGATGTTAATGGATGGAAATATTATAGTGTGATCCAATCTGGGTTCAGTCACTGTTTGGTGTCTATTCTGAACCAATAGAAATTGCATGACGGTAAGATCTATCTTTCTATCTATCTCATTATCCAATTAGAGATGTTAATGGATGGAAATATTATAGTGTGATCCAATCTGGGTTCAGTCATTGTTTGGTGGCTATTCTGAACCAATAGAAATTGCATGACGGTAAGATCTATCTTTCTATCTCTCTCATTATCCAATCAGAGATGAATCTTTTAATCGGCGCTAAGCAGTAAATGGAAAAATTTACTTCTACTAAAACTGAAGTGTAAATACAATTCGACCGTTTAAGAAACTTTTAGAATCCGAAAAATAAGATTTTTGAGTAAATTTTTAAGACTATAAATTCATTATTAAGTTATTTGGTTTCCCTAATCCAACTTTTTTCTGACCATTTAAGTAGGCTTAATTAATTTAAGTTTTAAATCTTGAAAAGCTATTTTTATCAAAGTATAGGGGGTCATATGTTCAATGGTTACGTCGGGTTGAAAACAATTGGCATGTCTGGTTGCCTTGTTCTGCCAACTCTAGGGAAGATCCTGTCATTGCATGAAAGCAGTACTAAAGCAGTCTGCCAATATACCGACCATACCAACGCCATTATTTAATTTGTTTGATAATATTATACACAAGCCAGGTTTACAGAGTAATACGTACTTGGACTCATCGGCCAGGGTTGGCATACATCAACATTTCTAATGTAGAGTCAACCAAGATAATTATATATATAAATACTGTTTTGTAGGAAGAAAAACGCAGTAAGGGTGACGTAAGAGTTAAAGGAATTGGGGGTTTGCTGCAAACACAAATTTTCCAATTGCAATATCTTTACAACCTTTTTGTGTTAGTCTTGGATATTTCAAGACATTTTGATCTAACAGAATTTTTAGTTTAAAATATCAAAGGTCTAAACATCGGTTTGCAAAGGTATTGAGATTTAAAAAAATTGAAGTTTTTGGTAATGCTCAGTTCCTTTGCTTTCGGAAACTTCAGAAAATGATGAATTCCAAGATAATTAGCTTAGATAATATAAATCGAATATCGATACATTAGATCAGATGGATAAGGATAATTTAATACATAATGTTGAATCCCAAAAAAATACATTATCACACTCCCTTTAAGTTTGTGAAATATAGATTGATTTATTAGTGGTATTGCAAGGTTTAAAGACATATATGAATGTAAAGAGTATAAGAATGGTCGAGGACACAGGAATAAAAGAAAAACTAGAAATATCTGAACAATACATATGTTTATGTCTATCTATAAATGTTTGTCATATATATATATCAATACAAGAAAGTATCTTTATGCTTTTCTAGAAACATCCTCCAGGAAATGTATTTACTTCCTTATAATTGAATAATTTTACATAACATTAACCACTAGGTGGCATTTTGGTATTTATTTTAATTGTATCCATTTTACTGTTCCTTATCCATCTAAACATGGGTGTCTCGGAAAAATCATTGAAAAATATTCTACAATCAATAGGGAAGAGGGAAGATATACAAAATTGGACAGCAAAGTTTTATCAAGGGTTACATGTAATTGTAAATGTTTAATAAAAGGTACAGTTTTTAAAGGTATATATTAAAGAGAGTGTTCGCGAAAAATGAAAGGGGGTATAGGCTCAATGCGATAAAAAAGCGCTTTTGATCGCTACTAATCTGACTTCTATCTGTTGCGTCTATAAGGAGAAAATTGTTAAAGACGTCTCATACCGAATAACATGGCGTCAATACAAATTGAGAAAATTGCAACATACGACTTAGACCGTAAAAAAATCAATTTAATTTCAAATAACTCAATATGTTTTAATTGTTATGATCTGAGAGTTACTTACAAAAACATTTATTCCTGTTTCGAGGATTTTTGGTAATGAAGACGACATTTTCATATTTTCCAGGAATGTTCGAAAACAAGTTGTAAGTTAAATATTATTTAAAAAAACAAAATCTAAACCAGTATGAAATATCAAATATATACAAATGTGGCGAAAGATAATTGATGACTATAGGTTGTAATATCTGAATGATTTGTTTGAAATTAAATTGATTTTTATGTTGCAATTTTCTCAATTTGTATGGACGCCATGTTATTCGGTATGAAACGTCTTTATTAAAGGTAAAGTTATTAACAGTAAATGCCTATCAGACAAGGTACAGTTATTAAAGGTATAGTTATTAACAGTATGCCTATCAGACAAGGTACAGTTATTAAAGGTATATTTATTAACAGTAAATGCCTATTAGACAAGGTACAGTTATTAAAGGTATAGTTATTAACAGTATGCCTATCAGACACGGTTCAGTTATTAAAGGTATATTTATTAACAGTAAAAGTGTATCTTTTATATGGCTGGGCATTACTCATTCTATTTAAAAAACGTGAACCCTACTCATAAATTTTTTTGTAACCTATGTTTAAAAGATTTGTATTGTTATTAAGCCATTTAGTTTTCCCATTGAGTTCAGCTTTTGTTTACTCTGTTTCAACGTTGTTCCTTACTGAATTAATATCCTCAGAGTAATTAGATTACATTTGTCAGGGAGGTTGGGGAATTTTTTTATTTAATTTTCTTAGGAATGGCATGACAATTTCTATTAAGTCTTTGTCAAAAACTCTGATTTTCAAATCCCTATGAATTTGCAACTCATCGTAGACCTTTGATTTTAAACTATGAATTCTGAAAGATAAAATAATCACTACATTCCTAAAGTGGAACGTGAGAAAAAGAAAGGATTCAGGGAAACTGCTTTGAACCTTAATACCACTCCTTTCTTCAACGATAATTTTAAAAAACGAAATCACGTGATCCCTTCAAAATAATTTTAGAAATTTGTAATTTCCTATGCAGTGGGATTGTTAGATATCCTGTCCTAAGTACACCTTTGTTTCCCTTCCTGGAAATTCCTTTGGCAGGATCCTTGAACAAATACAAATGTGAGTATTCTCTAATTTATAATCTTTACTCTCTCTCTCTCTCTCTCTCTCTCTCTCTCTCTCTCTCTCTCTCTTTTACTCAAACATTTTCTCAATCAAGGAGTTATGCATCTGGAAGAACCCACACATTTTAGCGAGGATAAGACACATTCAACTTAAAGGGGATGACTGGCTAGGTATATGGTATTGAACTGAGAGAGCAGTAGTGTAAAATAAAATATCAGGATAATCTTCTTCTTCAAAAATCATGAGGCTGGATAATTCATGAAATATGCTCACAAGAGTCCATTTTTTAAATCAGGTCTTCTATAAACAAATTTGCTGTTTAGGAACATATTTCTAAAAAGAAATTATCAATGAAATCAATGGAATATTTACCAAAACCATCAATTATCATACAGGGAAATTTTCATCTTACTAGGAAATAATTTGACACCTATATTCTTGAATTTAACTCATGTAGTTTATATATCTCGAACTATGTTTACCAAACAAACCACGTTTAGAAATTTAATGCTGTTTCAACAAATATTGATGAGCTGTTACTTTGCAACAAACAGTTTAAAACAATTTATATCTTTAAGCTTATTTCAAGCAATTAAAGAGGCTTCATGCGTTTGTGTTTTAAATGCCTTTAATAGTAAATTTAGTAGAGCTCCGATTGATTGAAAACTATTTCTAAATTCTACATATGTCAAAAATAGAAAGGCTATCTTAAAAAAATGTTTGGGTTTGGAAGATTTAACACGTGTTCAAGTGTTAAATGTTATCTAAAGAAACTAGGTTTCATATAAAAAATGTATATATTTAAAAACGTATATTTTTGTCAGCAATTATAATCATTAATATTGTATCATAAAAATGATAGTTATGATATGCCAACATGTTGGGCGATATAATACTTAGAAGACCTGCAAATGAACATCGATTTGAATACAATATAGTGAGGCTCATAAAACTGTGGAATGGAAAAACAACCTTGTTATGTGAAATTAATGTTGTTTTAAAGCAAATATTTTTACCACCAGCGTGAAAATTTACTTTAAATGTGAAATGGGTCGATGTACACTGCACAATTGTTGTGTATCACGTTTATTGGACTATTCAAAATCATAAGCCTGATCTTCTCTAGTTTGGTTAAGGTGTCGAACAAAACGCTATTTATTCACACTAAAACTTTCTGTTCTGCGTAAAGTTATCTTGTTTTGTAGTTGGTTGATGACAATATAATATACAACTGCAGTATACATACAATATACTTGTCTTCCGTCAGATTAATCGTGGGTTTAGTATATATCAGTATAGGATATATATTTATATTTTGTCATACAATCATATATACAGGGTTAGGATACATGGATAAATATATGGATACAGGGATACAAAGACATATTGTTACAGCAATACAGGGATACAGGGATACAGGGATACAGGGATATAAGGATACAAGAATACAGGGATACAGGGTTACAGGGATACAGGGATATAACGATGCATGGATACAGGGATACAGGGATACAGGGATAAAGAGATACAGGGATACAAGGGATACAGGGATACAGGGATACAGGGATACAGGGATACAGGGATACAGGGATACAGGGATGCAGGGATACAGAGATACAGGGATTTAGAGATACAGATATACAGGGATAAAGGGATAAAGGGATAAAGGGATAAAGGGATACAGGAATACAGGGATATAAGAAAACAGGGATACAGTTGGATCCAGGGATATGATGATACAGGGATAAAGCTAGATACAGGGATATAAGGATGCAGGGATGCAGAAATATCTGAATCAAAATGCTGACATCTTAACCTTTAGCAACAAACTGAAATATTTGATTTAAATACTTTTATTTCAGAAAATCTGCAAGCCAGAGATTATTAAAATGAGCAAATTCTCAGAAATATTCAAAAAGGTAAATGATTTCTGAAGGGTTTCAGATTTATCATTAAACCAACAATAATGTAGAAAAGACGACATAACCATAAAATAGCCAAACTCCGGTCATAGTTTACGTCAACCAGTTAGATCACAAGATGTCGTCTTCCCAACCCCATTCTATTAATTATAATAAAGAAACTGAGTTTTTGTCTCAAACTCAAATTGTCTAATCCCTATATCTTTACAATCTGATTATGTAAACCTTTGATATTTCAAACTTAGATTATTTAGTCAAACATAATTCATAGTTTGAAATATCAAAGGTCTACTTCATTAGGTAGCAAAGATATAGAGATTAGAAAAGTAGAGTTTGTGACAAAAACTCATTTCCTTTATAGATGACATATATTTTAATAGAACTGAAAACTTGTTTCAAACTTTGATTTTCTATTCTTTGTACATTTGCCACCTGATATTGTAGATTTTTGATAATTCTGCTGGATCGCACATCCATGTTTAATTAGGAAAGATCAGCTCGCAAAGATATAGGATTTAGAAACTTAGAGTTTTAAGCAGATTTCCAGGTCCTTTGAGGTAAATCATTTTCTAACCATGTAGCGATAAAAATGGCTAAACAACGAGAGAATAATCAAAATTTAATCAGAGTTCATGCTTTAACCTTGATAATTCTATTTTAATGTGAAACAATAACATGTTCTAAATAATATTTATTTTTACTCCTGTGACATTTTTTCCTGTTATCCCATACAAATGAGTGCAAGTGAAATTATAAGCATTTTTCTCTTATAAATAAGTTGTATAGAGTAGATATATTATCATATATCTATTCCGGAAATTGTGTAATCAAAAGCCTTTTATAAGTCAAAACTCTTAAGTCTACAGTCTCCTCAAATTTCTGAACTCAAAACTCTACGCTTAACCCTGCTCTTAACGCTTTACTCTTAACTCTTTATATCTTAACTCTTAACTCTTCATATCTTAACTCTTAACTCTTAAACCCAAACGCTGAGTTTAACTCAAACATCTTGTCTCTTGACTAAAGACCTTTAATTAAAATTTATGTATGTAATAATGTAAATCATTAACACTTTACCTTCCTTATAGACCTGAAAAACTTTAACTGAAAATTTTAAAAGCTAAACTCAAAATACAAAACTAATAATTCTATTATTTGACGGTGCAGTTAGTCTGGTTCATAAACGATTAATAATAGGCCTGTGTGCATGCACTCGGCTTTCCTTCTTCAGCAAACTTTAGCTAAATACTAATTGTTGGTTTAATGTTAAATATTGATGTATTAACTTTCATTTCAGGATCGATCAAATTCAGCAATGTTAACTAATAATTGAAGCTTTAATTGATTCTTCCTTAAATTTAGAATACACGTAATACTTAAATTTAAGAAGAATAGATGAGATAAATAGTAATATGAGATGATTTAACAGTTTCATGTAAGTTTTAACAAATTATTTAACATTCATTTCCAACAAAAACGGTTTTTACAAAAAGTTCATGACCATATAGGCCCTCAAAGTTATCTTTCAGCAAAAGACTGACTTATTTGTTTTAAACTATTAAATATTATCACGTATTTTTAAATAGGTGAAAAATATTTAAACCATAATATCAAAATACAACTAAATTTAAAATTGATTGAATTGACAATGTACAAAAGTTTGTTTTCAAATAATGGCAAATCATGTACAAAGCTACATGCAATTCCTAATGATACGCTATTTTAATACGCTTCGTTGAATTTATTTTTATTCAATTCCAATTGAACTTTCACATTTAAAATCATTGATTAATACTGACAATTCAAGGCTTTTAAGGAGTATCGCTTCATAGATAATGAAACACGTAAGAAGTTCCTTTAAACGATATATTCGAGATATGTTCAACGTAATTATTCCGTTTTATTGGTGTATTTTAGATAGCGAAAAATGGAATTATTTCCTTTAAACGATTTATTTTAGATTAAATTAATGGAAAACGGAACTAGTCCCTTTAAATTATATATTTAGATATAAGTGATGGAAAACGGAACTAGTCCTTTTAAATGATATATTTAGATATAAGTGATGGAAAACGGAAATAGTCCCGTTATATGATATATTTAGATATAAGTGATGAAAAACGGAAATAGTCCCTTTATATGATATATTTAGATATAAGTGATGAAAAACGGAAATAGTCCCTTTATATGATATATTTTAGATATAAGTGATGGAAAACGGAACTAGTCCCTTTAAATGATATATTTTAGATATAAGTGATGGAAAACGGAACTAGTCCCTTTAAATGATATATATTTAGATATGTGATGGAAAACGGAACTAGTCCCTTTAAATTATATATTTAGATATAAGTGATGAAAAACGGAACTAGTCCCTTTAAATGATATATTTTAGATATAAGTGATGGAAAACGGAACTAGTCCCTTTAAATTATATATTTAGATATAAGTGATGGAAAACGGAACTAGTCCCTTTAAATTATATATTTAGATATAAGTGATGGAAAACGGAACTAGTTCCTATATATGATATATTTAGATATAAGTGATGGAAAACGGAACGATGAAACTTGACACTATGAATAATGTGGCCGACGAAAGTCTTCCGGTAATATTTTTAAGAATTATATTTTGTTATAAAATAATTGTTGATTTTTTGCTTAATATCGGGGAAACGAGATACCCCTGTCCAAGGTTCTAATGCAAGGAAAGTTAATTGCAGTTGCGTATATTCTGCGTACATATTGAAATCAGTTCTCTTTGGGCGGAATTTGTAAACAAAAATAGATGCGTCAGTGGTCGTCTAGTAACCGAGGAGGATAAAAGCATTTAATTTTGATAATTTCGAAAATTCACATAAGAGTTTCCTATGACCAGAATATTTCATAGATTATTTTGTGAAAATTGATTCCATGTCAGGCTGGGACATCCGTCTTGTGTTCACTTTTCCGCCCAAAGACAGTACACTGCAGCACAAAAAGGCGTACACCATTGAAATAACTTACTTGCATTAGTACCTTGCCCCTGTCTGTCTTTATGTAACACAGTAACAGTAGTAAAATGTGGAAGTTTCTTTGTATTTAATATTTTTATACAATCATGAATTCTATTTGATTAATATGTATAAAAGTATATGAAGTATATAAAGTATATATAATAACTTTAGTTGTGAAGATTTGGTATATTTGAAATATTTAACATTTATAGAGTTCTGTGTACGCTTTATTCGCTTTATTATTAAGCATATTTAATCATTCTCGTATAATATCAATACNGGGGGACTCACCTATATTGATAAAAGTGAAGAATACTAAATATGTGAAAATGTAACGTCCTACCTGACCATTGTTTAACTTTTACCAAGGGGTGGCGTACAGAGGAGAAGGCCGAAGCCACACTCCTTGTAAGTAACCATGTACGCCACCCCAACATGGAAATAGCTTTATTTAAATTTCCGTAATTTAGAAAGTTTAATTTGAATCTGCAGTTTTGCATAACTGTCATGCCAGTAAATGCACAGGTTCTCAAGGAAAATCAAATTTCATATTTATACAAATATATTTTGAGAATTTTTATTCATTTAATCCTATCCCGATTGTTTTTTTTTCCCCTCTGATTTTGCCTCAGAGTTTAGATAGAGGAGTGTGATACATGTCCCTAACCCAGCATTTTAAGACCTACTTTTAAAAACAAATTAGATCTCTATCTTTACTGATGAGGGTGCAAGGGAGGAATTTTAAAAAGTTGAAAAAGTGTGTCGGAAAAGTGTTCAAAGATAAATATTTGTTGTTAAATCCATTTTTCAAGAGCTTTTCAAGTATACAGAATTGATCCTTTTGACTGTCTTCCGCACTACCCTATGCTTTAAAAAAATAGCTAAATTTGTTGATTATATACTACGAAGTTGAAAAAGTAAAGAAGTTTTAGCGCTCTAATGTGAGCCGTGTTAAGTTATTTAGAAAACACCATAAAGGGGGGGGGGTGGTGGAAACCTCCCCCCCCCCCAATCGTGATTGGGTTAAATTGATAAAGTTAAGTTTATTTTTTCTCTACTGATTGACCCAACTTCGAGCTAGATAAGTCGTCTTTGATTTGTGTTCGTAAATTTTATAATAATTTAAGATTTTTGTTAATTTTTTAATTTAACCATAAAAGATTGATGTATAATGTAACATAATGAATTACCCGTTACTGTAGCATTGCTAAGTAAATGTAAATTGGTAAATTAATATAAAATTCATAATTTAATATAACCTTGATAAGTTACACGCGTAACATTGGTAGGTTAATATATGTCATATTGATGTTACTGTAACATTGATAAGATAATATAAAATTGAAAAGTCAAAATATCATTGATTATGTTAATACAAAATTTACATTATGCAACTGTAACATTGAATTTATTGTAACATTGATAAGATAATATTTTGATAAGTTACTGTAGCATTGGAGAAGTTACTGTAGCATTGATAAGATAATATAAAACTGATAAGTTATACTGTAACATTGATAAGATAATATAAAACTGATAAGATAATATAGCATTGATAAGATAATATAAAACGGATAAGTTAATGCAGCATTGATAAGATGATATAAAATTGATAAGTTACTGTAACATTGAATATAAAATTGATAAATTACTTTAACATTGATAAGATAATATAAAACTAATAAGTTACTGTAACATTGAATATAAAATTGATAAGTTACTGTAGCATTGATAAGATAATATAAAGCTGATAAGTTAATGTCACACTGATGACAATTTAGATTATCATTTATCATTAATTAACACGGTTAAACAGTTTTGTACTTTTTATTGGGAGAAAGTATCTTAATAGTAGTGGTTAGCTGGTTACTTGGGTTTGTTAGTTGGTATCTATACTATCTACATATTAACAAGATTATATATCAAGAAATGAGGAAAAAAGGAATACATAATACTCATTTCAGACATTGGAGTTTTTTATACAGAGAAAATCGCTCTAAATTGTATTATCATTATTAGAGTTTATTTAGGTAATATAGAACAGTGTACACTAGAATACATGTATAGTACAAATCCTACACATGTGAAGTGCAAATAATATACATATACAGTACAAATCCTATATATGTACAGTATAAATTATAGGTATAAAGTTGAGGATATATACCAGATATTTATATTGTACAAAATTAAGGTAATATGGAAGAGTGTACACTAGAATACATGTAAAATACAAATCCTACACATGTAAAGTGCAAATGATATGCATATACAAATACAAATCCCGTATATGTACATTACAAATTAAAGGTATAAAGTTGAGCATATGTACAAGATATTTATATTGTACACTAGACTAGAGTTCAAGTTTTCATCCAACCTTACTTGTACAATTTACATATTATCGTAGGATAAAGTTGAGGATATGTACACTATAGAGTACAAGTTTCATCCAACCTTACATGTACAATTTACATATTATCGTAGGATAAAGTTGAGGATATGTACAAGATACTGGTTGAGATATCTAGAGAACTGGAGAGGATTAAATTCATGCTCAATAAACGTAAGTTAATCCAAGTGGAAATCCTTCACTTTCAAGATTCATCAATCCTCGCCCTAGTTACATCATTCTTAGCA